CGGGCATACTGACGGCAGCTGTGCTACAGTAGCTGGCAATCTGACGGCCCAGGTGGCCGCAGCGCTTGAATTCACGCGCAGGCACGGGCCCGCACCCCAGCGCCGGCCCGGGGAACCCCCTCTGTCAGGGGCCGGACCCTGCCCGCCCCGTGCACTTTGGGCACCTGTGGAGGCGGGGAGCCGGGAGATCTGGAGGCCGCGGCGCGGACGGGGATGCCAAGTACCGGCCCGTGCCGAGCGCCAGCGACGACACCCTCGGGCCTCAGCCCAAGGTCGGGCTCCGCCGGCAATCAAGGTACCGGCGCGAGCCCAAGGCCTAGCCTCACGGAGGACAGCCGCGCACGCCGGCATCAGTTGCCTGGCGGCAGTCGGCAGACAGAGGGCCAGTCGGGCCCCACACGCACGCCGGCGCACACGCCAGGCGATGCGTGACTCAGTGCCTAGACGGTGCCGGCAACACAACGCCTGGCACCCAGTTTTGGCGACGCCCATCAGGGCGCCCACACAGCACGCCGGCGCGTAGAACCCGCCAGGCGGCCAGTGTGCGGGGGCACTGGCAGCAGCACCAGTATTATAGAACAAAGGCGGCGAGGCCCGCTTCGCGTGGCGGAAGGAGGGACCCGCCTGGCGTGTCATCGCCGGCGGGAGGAGCGTGCGGCCAGCGCAGCAGCAAAATGGGGGGGGCTGCACCGCTGCCGCCATCATCGTCATCTTCTCCTGAGGGTTCGCTTCAACCGCTTCGCGGCTGGCACGTCCCGCGGCCTAAAAGCAGGCCGCGTTTTCGCTAGCGCCGTACTGTGGGGGCGGGGTCTTAGTTGTTTGTCCTAAACGGTTGGACCCCGCCCTCCCCGGTCGGCTTGGGTTTCTTCTCTCCCTGCCCCTGCCTCTGCTTGCCCTTCCCTTTCCCTCTCTCCCGCTCAAGCCTTCGGGGCTCAAAGCCCTCCCAGGGCCCAAAGGGGCCCTCTTTTGCCCGCCCACCCTGGGTTTTGCCTCGGTGTCCTACGGCACCGGCGGCGAGGCCCGCTTCGCGTGGCGGAAGGAGGGACCCGCCTGGCGTGTCATCGCCGGCGGGAGGAGCGTGCGGCCAGCGCAGCAGCAAAATGGGGGGGGCTGCACCGCTGCCGCCATCATCGTCATCTTCTCCTGAGGGCTCGCTTCAACCGCTTCGCGGCTGGCACGTCCCGCGGCCTAAAAGCAGGCCCCGTTTTCGCTAGCGCCGTACTGTGGGGGCGGGGTCCATGCGAAATGGGCCGGCGGAATGAGCGAAGCGATTCAATAACGATGAATATCTGTTCGACTACACCAAGGCCGTTCCCGAACCTCCTGCGTCAAGAGCAAATCACGACGGCCAGCTTTCCCAAGTTTGGGCCAGGGGCGTCCCGTACTGGACCCCAGGATGCATCCTTTGTTCCACAGCGACACACGCAGAGAACAACAGTCAAACTCAAAGTCTACAGACCACGCGGCAACTTGGGAAGGCGCATCCAATTCCTCCACTGCGTCTGGAACAAAGCCGCTTTGCGTAGGCACTGACTGTACCAACATCACCCCAGAAACCGCTAAGCTAGAAGCTCAGGGCCACTCATGGGGAAGATGCAGCGCAGTCGACTCGCTGCCGACAATTTGTCACATCCACTGAAAGCGGGCGGCAAGGCTTTTTCTTGATATGGCGTACATGGGACCTAGGAGATGCGTACAGATATACTCAAGACTGCGCACGGCATGCAGAAACAGACCAACTTCACGGTGCAAATTGCAAGAAACACGCAAACATGGTAAATCATCTGGGACTCCACTCACAGGGGCAAGGCGGCGGCAGGCTGTGTCGCAATCGACTGATACCCCAGACGAGGCGTCTCCAGAGGAGAGGCCTCCATTGGCACCCTCAGCTGTACCTCCCTATTGTGTGGTCTATCTGTGCGCTCCTAGCTCACAGCTCGGTGACCGTCGGTGACCCCAAGACGCGGCAGAGTGCTCCGCCCCAGTGGAGAACTCCCAGACGCGAAGGACGCGAGGCTGCGGTGGTAGACAAGCGCGTTCCACTACTCGCGAAGTAGCTCCTCGCAAATGGCCTGGATCCGCCGCACGGGAGTTACGATATATTACAAGAAGGCAGACGTATGATTCTTAGGGTGTTTGCGAGTGGGCACTTTGCGAGTAGTGGAACGCGCTCGGCGAGATGGACAGGACTTCGACAGATGGAGGAGGAGAGACAGGAGGCGGAGGCCGGAGGAGCGGAGCAGAGCAGATCCATCCTCATGGACTCCCTGTCTAGAGTTTACAGGCACGATCCACCAGAACAACTAGACGGTACTCTGGGAAGGTTCCTTCCGCGATATTGTTCTGCGATGCCTTCAGGTCTGCGGGTGGGGGCAGTGGGAGGCCTTGAGAAGTGATCCCTCCCGCTCGCTGACTTTGGGGTCCCCCCAGCCATTTCTTCAGATGGGTCGGGGCCAGTCGGGGGCGTCCAAGAGGGGGGGGGTCCAAGAGGGGGGGGCGCCGATCGTGGCCAGCGGATGTGCACGGCCCAGGGGGGGGGGGCCAGGGACGCATTGAAATAAGAAGAGGCGCCATGAAATCTGTGGAAACAGCATGGCCCCCGTCAGGATATCCACTCCCACCGAATCAGCACCCCCCTCTTGGCCGCCCCCAAGAAGGCCTCAAGAGCCACAGTCGCTGGGCCCGGGACGATGCCGACCCCTGACTGCCGTCTCTGAAGGGGCCCAGGGACACACACACACACACACACACACACACATCAATACACACAATTCCCAGAATTCCCCATATTTTCCCATGTCGTTTGGATTTTCGTCTTCCCCCCCACTTCACTTCCCATATTTTCCTATATTGCCCGCCTGGACCGCCTCCTCATCCCCAAAGCTTGATGTGAGGGAGCGGCGGCGAGACTCTCACGCCGCTGTGGGGCGAGCGAGTGAGCGAGGACGAGATGCCAGGAAGCTGGAGCGCATGTTTTGCGCCGGCGGCCAGGCAGAGTGACTGCGCTAGCGGAAGAGGAGATTGTTGGACGAGCAATTGTGAACTGAGCCGCAGTGCACGGGGGAAGAGGAGGAACGCCCTGCGACGGCGGGAGGGAGCTGGAACACACACACACACACACACACACACACACACACACACACTATATATATATATATATATATATATATATATATATAAAATATATATATATATATATATATATTCGCGTGTGGAACAGCGGAAGGCCAGGCGCTGGACATACACGGCGCGTCAGCGCCAGAAACGCCAACTCTGCTCCCAAAGGGCGCCTTTTTTCTCCTTTCCACAAACCTTCGAGCGAGCATGCGAGGCCTCCCCTCCACTCCTCGCCGCACTTGGCCGTGCCGACACGTCAGAGGAGCCAGCCGCTCTGAAGGAGCTGCACGAAAGCAGCCGACACCGCGTCGGCCGCAAACGCGATCGGAACAGCTCCGTCTCGCATAGAAGCGGACAGGGCGCAGCAACACAACTTGGAGGCGCGCGAAAACGAGGTGGCGCAAGGGGTGAACGCCCACGGCGGGGTCGCCGCCGCGTCGGCACGAAAAAAACTTACCGCCGACTCCTTACAAAGCCGCCCCATGACGCCCCCGCGGTGCAACCCCGTGTGGGCAAAACACGACCAGAAGTTCCAGCAACTCCAGCCGTGGCGACGAGGACTCCCAGGAGGCCTGAGAAAGCAAAAACGAGGAAGGGTGGGTGTGTCGGTACCTGTTCCTCCTCCCTGTGCGCGCCGCCAAACAATATGAAGATCGATAACCAGTGGTCCCAGGAGCTCTTCGGAGCCTCACCGTCAATGACCACGCAGCTCGCGCGTGCCGTGGAAGCGGCCGCAAACTCCACGAGCAGGAAGCGGGAGCGTCCCAGGAGGTCGTTGTCGAGCCACGGCTCGCATGAAGGACGGTGGTGCAGGCAAGATGGCCACGCATCCAAAGGGGCGCGTGGGCTGGTCGGCGATGGCACTCGTGGCTCATGCCATGAACTTGCTGCGACTAAGTCCGCACTGCACGGTAGCGCTACATCGAGTTGGCCTGAACAGCCCACAGGGAAAAGGAGGAGGAGGAGGAGAAGCGGGGATAAGGTGAACTGCTATGAAAAAAACTAAAAGCGAGGAAGGTGAGGAAAGTCTCCGGATCCGCCATGGTGCCACTGGCACGTGGGGGCACGTCAGGATGTGCATGTCCGCTCTCCTGCAGGATGATTCTGCCTTCTGTCGGGGACGCCTCCCCCCTTCTCGCAAACTTGGCATCAGCTCGCTCCCCCCCTGGAAAGTATGATCTGGCGCATGTTCGGCCTCTAGATGGCTCCCAGATGACCAAAGACATCCCCAAGGAGGCTGCAACATGTCATAATATCAACACGATATGGCCGACCGACCGTCCGAAGGCTCCAATATGTCCTCAGGAGGCCCCCAGTCCGAGGCCCCCAGTCAAATGCCCTATGAAATCATAATACGGCAACTGCAGAACGAGAGAGAGAGAGATAGAGAAGAAACAAAAGAGAGAAAGAGAGAGAGAGAGAGGGAGAGTTAGACATAATGTGTGATTCCGCCTCTTCCCCCTGCTCCTCCTCCTCCTCCTCCTCCTCCTCCTCCTCCTCCGCATCCTCCTCCATACTGCTCCTCCTCCTCCTCCTCCTCCTCCTCCTCCTCCTCCTCCTCCTCCTCCTCCTCATCCTCCTCCTCCTCCTCTTACCCCTTCTCTTCGTCGTCCTAGCGAACAGGGTCGGCGGCACCGGCCGTAAGGCCGTCGCAATGAGAAAGAGAGAAAAAGAGAGGGAGGGAGTGAGAGGCAGGAAAAAACCACACATCTTCGGCGCCAGCGTGCACAACAAGCTCAGCGAAAGGGCGGTTGAAGCATGTGCTGCGCTTGTGACCTAAACGTGCCATACAGCCAGCACCAAGGATGAGAAAACTATCACTTCGAAATTCGGGGCCACATCCAAACCAAGACACCAAGAGCAATGTACGTAACTAGCACTGGTCATCGGTGCAAGCGTGGCGAAATCCATGCGCAAACGTCTGCGATAATGTCCTCCCTGAACTCTTCATCATTGAGCATCACATGACAAGCGCCACTGTACCTCTTGAAGACCTTGTCTTGCACGTCGGTGCACGCTCTTTCGTAGAACTCCTTCGGACCACTCTTGTCGATCACTTCGTCACGACTGCCCACGCCGATGAAAAACGGGCAAGAGAAATCCTGGACGCGCTCCTGGACCCGCTCGGTAACTCCCAAGAGCGTAGCGGCCGAACGTAGGCGCATCCTGCCCTCGTAGGGCCCATAAGTCTTCCTGTCGTCCTCGGGCTGGCGAAACGGGAGGGGCCCGACTGCCAGGGCGGGCGCGACCCAAGAAAGCGCGCGGAGAGCAACGACCGCGGCCGGGTGGGGCAAGTCGGAAGGCCTGGGCTTGATCAGCGGGGACAGGAGGACGACTCCGTCCACGGGCTCGTCCGCGCAGTGCGCCACATGGACCGCGATCGCTCCCCCCATGCTCGTCCCGCATAGGAAGACTCTCTGACCAGGATGCCTCAGCCGCACCTCGGTCAGCACGTCGAGGCCGTCCTCGAGGAGCTCGTCCGTGCGCGGCAGGAGGCCCGGGAGGCCGTCGCTGCCCCCGTGGCCGATCATGTCCGCGCCGTAGCAGCAGAGGCCCAGCCGGCGGAGGGCCGCCGCCAGGTGGCAGTGCGCCGCGCACCGCGGGCTGCCCAGGTAGCCGTGGAAGAGCAGCGCCACGCCGCTCGTGGAGCCGAAGAGCGGAGCCCAGGTGTACAGGGCCAGCTTCTCCCCTCTGCTGATGGGCCCGTTTTCCACCACCACCACAATAAGTTGGAGGGGGGAAGGAGGAGGAGGAGGAGGAGGAGGAGGAGGAGGAGGAGGACCCCTTCCCCCTCCAACTTGTGGTGGTGGTGGAAAACAGGCCCACCATCTGCGATTCAGAACTGAACCGGAGAGCTCGGGCTGCCTGCTGCAGAGTGGGTCATCGGGACTCGAGTCGAAGCCCTCGTCGTCCGAGGCCACAGAGCTGGTGCTCGAGTCGGTCGGCTCACTCCAGCACCGGAACAGAGCCTCGTCACGCATCCGGACAACCGACGAGGCGACACAGCGGCAGCGGCGACCTGCGCAGCACAGCCCGGAGCCGACATGACGGAGGCCAGGATGGCTTGAGCCAAGATTGCTGCGGCTGCCGGGATGGAACGCTGGTGCCCTGGTGGGGTCGACAGGCCACACAAACAAAAAAAAAAAACGTCGGATGTCTGGCGTCATATGCGTCAACTGCGCTCTGTGCTTGTATCCACTACCCCAGCAGAGGTGGCTCGGGCCATCTCCTTCGCCACCCAGCCCATTCGACGCATTCACTCGCCAACGAGACAATCACACTGCGTGTCGGCGCAGACCTTCGCCACGCAGGCCCTTCCACGCGTTCACTCGCCCGGTATCGCCAACGAGACTCGCACTGCGCGTACGCAGGTGGACTTGACATTCTTGTCCAAAAGGCAAGCCGGCACGACATACAGCGAAAGGCATGAAAGCACACTGCAAAAAAGGGCGGGTGTGCGCGCGCAATGCCGATCATTATTATCATCCTTCCCATGTTCCTGATCCTCCTCCTCCGCCTCCTTCTCCCCCTCCTCCTCCTTCTCGAGTGTAGTCCCTCCCCTCCGCAACCTCAGACAATCTGATTGGATGTCTGGCCTGCGTCTTGCAACTTTCGGGAACTATGGTAACGACTAGTTCTAGACGCCCATGAAATAGCAATGTCATCCAGTGGCCAATCCCCTCCCTTACTCCTGCTTTCCACCTCTTCTTGATCCTCCTCCTCAACGTCCTCTTCCCTCATTCTCTTCATCCTTCACCTTTGCACCGCATCTGCTCTTCCTCGTCATCGGTCGAAGGCTCCTCTGGGGGAAACTGCGGTAGATGTTGCGCAAGGACGCCGGGTCCTCAGAGGTGGTCAAGGGCACAGAGGACGAGGAGGAAAGGACAACCTCGACGAGTGGAGCAGAGAGTGAGTGGAAAGGGGAGAGGGAGGGGGAAGGAAGACGGAGGTTGAGAGAGAGAGAGAGATCGGGAAGGGCAAAGCAAATGCCTGATGAGGACGACGGGATGGAGCGGAGCCAATGACGAGGAGAAGAGCTTGGCACTTGAAACTTCACGAGAAAAGAAATGGGCAGCACCCGCACCGAAGTAACTCGCACCAATAGTGGCAAAACGACAACTCGCTCAGCGAGTCTGGTCGGAATCGAAGCTGGTACGCGTCGCCAGCGGTCACTTACGCATTCGCTAGCTCGCGAGACCTCGGAACGCCACGGATCGACACGACAAAGAATTGAGCCACTAGGCTCGTAACACATTTGATTGTAAGGCAAGACAAGGCAAGGCAATCCCACCAGCCCTTGGGCGACAGGTGGTCTAAGGAAGGTCTCTGTCCTCTTCCACAACCCCTCTTCCCTTCGGAGAGTGAACCCTCCCCCTCCCCTACCTCCAGTTAGAGCGTCCTTTTTCGGCCCCTGGGAGTGCCATGTTTTGCCACCCCTCACGAGGATCGTGGCCCCCGAGGGGGGGGACGGAGATAAAGGACACCCCTGATTTGATCGATAGCCACCAAGATAACCCCAAGAGGACCTCCAGGGTTCCCAAGAGGGCCCAACGAGCGTCCCAAGAAGCCCCAAGAGGCCTCCAAGAGGCATCCGAGAGGCCCTCAAGAGGTCCCCGTGCGGCCTCAGAGAGCCCAAGATGACCTCCAAAATCGCTCGGATAGCCCAAGCTGGCTCAAGATGGCTCCCAAGATGGTCCACACGGCCCCAAGACCGCTCCAAGACGGCTCGAGATGGCCACGGAGCCTCCCAAGCCTCCCTCGCTGTTTGACTATGCGTGCCTCTTCCTCTCTCCCCCCGTCAGCTCTCATGGGCATCATTTCTGAATGGGCTGGCAGGGACACGCGAAACGTCAAGAATTCGACTTGTCGCTGTTCAGTGTCATCACATTGCTGCAAAAAGAAACTCTGCACCACAAGAGCGTAGAAATGAACGAACTGTGTATACGACACAGTACACGTTACCAGAACGTTCCGACATTGACGCTCAGATGCCCCCCCACACACCTAGCCCGTGGCTTTCAAAGAGACATGTGTTACAATTACGATGCCAGAATGGGCATCACCACCTCCACAGACAATATGCACATGTTAGATTTCACCACGCCACTCAACACCAAAAACTGCACCACAGACACCCGACACCCTCCGAGCAATATCACGTTCACACGTTCGAGCATTTTGGACACAACCTGTGTGAGCCGAGTAATACCACAATGGCCACGACCCCACGAATGCTCAGCAGCAGGCGAAAAAATCTGCCAACCTTTACGTGTGTGACGACGCTGTCGTCGTCGTCGTCGTTGTCCTCGTCCTCCTGGTCGTCGTCGTCGTCGACGTCGGCCGTTTGCTCCGTTCCCTGCCCTCCCCTGTCCTTTCGTCCGTCGCAGAATTATCCTGCATCCGTCGCAGCTTTTCCCTCCGTTCCCTGAGCTCTCCTCCTCGATCTCGCCAGCCACCACAAAAAGAAACAATATCGCTATTGAGTCGAAGGCAAGCCCTTCCCTCCATCCCTTCCTGGCAAGAGGAAGTCGCAGGGGGGTCCCGGGGGGGAACCCCAGGGGGGGATCCCGGGTCAGAATACTATCCTCCCCCGGGGGGGTCCTGGGGCCCAAAGAGGCACCAAGATAGCCCAAGAGGCACCCAATACGGTCCAAGAGAGCCCCGAATCGCCGAACGATCGGTCCAAGGCGCCAAAGATAGCCTCCTGACAGTCTAAGCGGCTGCCAAGACGCTCGAAGAGGCCTCCGAGAGCACACCGAGAGAGCCCCAGCGGACAAACTTCTACGATTGCCCTGACGTTTTTGACAGATTCTGGCGTGAGGCCCCCAGGAAGCCAGAGAAGACCCCAAAGAGGCGCGTCAAGAACATACTTCAATGTTCGCCCAAAGGGTCCTCGTGGGGCGTCACAAATCTCGATTGGCAATCCGCAGCCACATCCCCTTAAGTTTCCAAAGCGCCGCCAGAGTTACCAATTATATGTGTTACTTCTTTGTTGTTCGACGGTGGCGGGCAACAAGTAGAAAGCAATACCAACGATCATCAGCACGCAGTACTCGTTCAATATTGCAAGATGTTCGGAACTGCCCGATGGCGGCGACGACGTAGACGTCGACGTCGACAAGATGCGACGACGATTCCAGCCGAACGACCGACCGACCGACAACGGCGACTCGCGAGCTGTTTCTTCTCCCGTGCGCTAGTGGGCTGCAGTCGGCATTTCTCCAGTTCCGCAGGTGGGAAACGCTCAGCCCATATTGACAACCTTGTGCAGAAGGGTGCGCATCGAAGCGACAAGCCGGGTCAGATCGGGTCGTGCGTCGGATCGGGCCGCACGAAGCCGAAATCAGATTGGCTCGGCTGCGCCAGGATGCACACCAGCGCCACGCAAACCTCGGGCCTCATCAGATCGTCGGAACGTCGGAATCGAGTCGGACTGGGGCGGCTGAGATCAGGTCGACCGGACCAGAAGGGACCCTGACCCGGCCCAGAGGAGCCGCGCTTCCTCGACCGCAGGGCACAAACAGCGGCGGCTCACGACCACGACCACGGCAGCGGCCCCCTCAGTCGCGACCCAGACCGCGAGGCGCGACCGACGCCCAGGGCAGCAGCAGCGGCGGAGGGAGGGCGCGGAGCCGGCGGCCACGACAACGACGCTGGGGGGCGAGGAGGGAGACGCCGAAGAAGAGGGAAGAACGCGGAGCCGACGACCACGACAGGGACGCGGGGGAGAAAGTGGGAGACACGGAAGAGAGAAAGATTGGTGGCAATGCAATGCCGAACTAGTCGGAGCTGGACTGAATCGGGCTTGGCGTCGGACTCGTGCAGTCGGATAGTCCAATGGTGCCCGTGGTATACCCTGTTCGCATTGCGCAGCTAGCCACCACTCCCCAACAACGTCCGACGCGTGCTGCCCATTGAAAGCCTGTGGAACATCCAGCAGCTCTGAAAGAAGCATGACTCATGACCATCCTCTGCGCTGGGCACTCCGTCCACAGCCGGGCAGCTATGGGCGCAAGCTGAACCATCTATCATCTCGGCACAAGGGAAATCTCATTAGTTGAAGCAATACACCCTCATTGAACAGCAAAGAACTGCTAGCAATGCAACGCCGCAGTGCGTAGTCGGAGCAGGAATTGGAGCCATTCGGGCTTTGGGTCGGGCTTGGCGTCGAGTTCATCCCAGGGCTGGGCGTCGAATTGTGCGTCGGGCGTGGCGTCAGAAGTGGCGTCGGGCTGGGCATTGGGCCAAGTGACGATATGGTCGGTCTGCCCGTGGAAGTGGAGATCTAAACGGAGGCCACGCCGAAATTAACAGCCTTCGCAATTTGGCCGCGAAACATCTGGCCTGATTCACTCTAGCCGACATCAACACGCGCAGACTGTTGCCATCGCAAGTTCTTGACTTGAAACAGAAATACCTGAGCCATACCGACTCAAGCATGCCGAGCTTGGCAAGGTGATCTCGAGCGCGCGATTCCTGAATGTCGAGAGCACGGCACATGAGTAAATTGCGAGAAATCCCAATCGAGAGCACGATTCTGGGTATATTGCAAGGAAGTCTCGAGCGAGAGCGCGATCCATTCCTAGCTACATTGTGAAGACGTCACAGGCGGGAGCCGTTGCTGTCCCAGTCGGGGGGGCCAAGGGCGCGGTTTGGGCGCGGTGTGCGGCGAGAACAGACTGGGGCACTCCAACTTTGGAGGCGGCTGGGGGGCCTGGATGGGACCCCAGATAATCGATGAGGAGCGGAATGAAGCCAAATCCGCTGAAAATCGGCCCCTGGATGTCCATTTGCTACAGTCTTGCAACCTGGATCCGTTTTTGAAGGTCCTGGGGCCCGAAGGCGGCCCCCAGAGACCGAGAAAGTCACAAAACTTTCTATCGAATCCAGAACCTCGGAACCCGACCCCCCTTCTTGCTTCAACTCCAACACAAAGACAAACAGTGGCCACAGGCGCTAGGTCGTGCATGTCCCCCATACAGGCGGATATTGAACGAAAACTTTAAAATACCCCAGATATATTCCCAAATAGTCGAAAAATAATCCAACGATCGTCCCCAGACTATTTTTCTTGTAAATTTGAATATTCCTCCTGTAGAAGGACAGGCCCGACATAACACTGGCGCGGGAGGATCAGCAGCAACCGCTCTTCAGCATTGCAAGCTCAAGCAGCAAAGCGGCAGGGCGTCGAGAGGCGGCCAGGGGCCCCACTCCAGCTGCCGAAAGTGCCTCGCGTAGAACGGGCCGAACGGGACCAGCTCCGGCGCCTCCGCGGTTCCTGGGGCCCGCGCTCTCCCTGATGGGCCTGTTTTCCACCACCACCACCACCACCGTAAGCTGGAGGGGGGAAGGCGGTGGAGGAGGAGGAGGAGGAGGAAGAGAAGGAGGACCCCCTCCCCCTCCAAGTAATGGTGTTGGTGGCGGTGAAGACAGGCCCGTCACTCCCACTGGCATGATCAGCCACCATCGAATCCGAAAACCGGATCGAATCGGAATGCGCGCGGGATCGACAGACATCGGCACGGAGCCGAAATCGGACCAGATCGGCTGCGCCAGCATCGTCAGCCGCGCCATGCGAGCACCGGGCCGCACCGCATCACCGGGGAATCGGAATCGAATCGGTCAAGCTGGGCGGAATTGACATCGAATCGGACCGATCAGATCGGAATGGACAGCGCATCCACGCCGCCCCTCCCAAAGGGGGGAGACGAGGGAGCGACGCGCGCAAGGGGATGGTGCGAGGGGGGTAGCCTTCTGAGAACATGGAGGACTTCTTGGATGGCAGGGGTCTTCTCGGAAGGGCCCGGAGGCTTCTTGGGCGCCGAAAAGGGTTCCAGGAAGCCCTACGCCCTCTTAGAACCAACCCCGCCTTCTTGAAGGCCGCCCCCCCTGGCGCCGCCCCTTTGTGCGCGCCGCCAGAAGTTGGAGGACCCAGGATCCCTGACGTCCTGAGGTCGTGGGAGAAAAAATACGGTCCCGTCGCAGCGGGGCAGAAGCAGTCCGCCCGCGCGCTTAGCAAGTCGGGCGACGGCATTGTGGATTGCCCGGACGCGAGAGGAAATAGGAAAGAGGAGAGGAGCGGCCGCCGGAACGGGGAAAGTGACTAGCGCGCTCACGCAGCGGGGACTACGGCGGGGCGCCCGGGGCGGTCAAGCCGGTGCTGCACCCCTGGCAACAAGCGCTGGGCGGCGTCGCGAAGACACCCAGGGGCTGGGGCAGCGGCAGCAGTGCAAGAGGCATACGACCAGCGAGCGAGGAGGGAAAGCGACGGAAGGTTTTCATGAGTTTCGACCTTCCAAAGGGAGGGACCCATACCGGCCCTTTCCAGGGGAGGGGGACGAGGGAACTGTGGGAGGGAAGATCCACGACGTTTTGAAACTTACTGGAGGTGCGGACGTCTTCGTCGGCCTCGGCTTTCGGGGGTCTTCCGGCGCTCCCTTCGATTATTGGAGGTCGTAGCGCCTCGGGATGCCCTTCTACAGCTACACCTCGTCGAGAGTGTTCCAGGTGTGCCCGGATCGCCCCGATCGGCTGCTGGAGGCCTGAGCCAGGGCCTCCCCGAAAGCCAGATGTCTGCGCGTCGGGAGAAGCTCACGATGATGAGGCTTCGGGATGCGCACGGGCAGCCCCCCCAGGTGGTCCCAGCTGACCTCAACAGGCCCTGAAGCAGGGGGGGACCTGAACGGTGTTTTGGCGATTCAGTGGGCCGTTTTCGCTTCGATTTCGTTTTGCGGTAAAGGCGGATTGAAAACAAGACGAGGGAAAACGAAAACAGAACGAAAACGAAAACCACCGTTTAGGTTCAGCCATGCCCTGAGGAACGCTGTTAAAACCGCCCCCGACTACTCGGGAGGTCTGCTGAGGCCAGACGGGGTTCTCGGGGGGCCTGGTAAGGCCAGCCGGGACTTCGTGGGGGGAGGGCTGTCTGTGCGCAACCGGAGGTGTTGCCATCTCACGATGAACTGCACTGTTTCGAACGAGTTCCGATCTCCTCGGAAGGCCCTGACCAAGCCCTGAAGCCGTCAAACAGCGGCTCCAGACAGTCCTGGGAAGAGGTCCGCGCCCCCAGGGAACCGAGATCTCGGATCGACTACAAAGTTTGGTAAGTTGTCGGTGTCTTTGGGGGGCTCCTGGGACGCCCTCGTCGCCGCAGTTGGATCTGCCAGAAGGGGAGGAGGAGGAGGAGGAGGAGGGGGAGGAGTGAGGAAGGAGGAGAAAGGAGGCTCGAAGATCGAGTTGCGAGATCAAACTTCGAGGATTGAGGATCCTGGATGTCTTCCACTCTTATTATGTATTCGAGCTTTGGGAAGCTTCTCGTTGCCAGAACGACCCGCTGGACAGATCTGGGGGTCGATCTTGGGGGGAGGAGAAGGAGGAGGAGGAGGAGGACGAAGAAATGGAAGAGTTTCCACACATGTCCGTGTTCTCGTGGAGAGGGAGCAGGAAGAGGAGGAGGAGGAGGAAGAGGAATAGGAAGACGAGGAGGAGGAAAGAGGAGGAGAAGGACGAGGAGGAGAGGGGGAGGGAGAGGGGGAGGGGGAGCGATGCGGGGAGGAGCAGGGGAAGGAGGAAGACGAGGAGGGGGAGGAAAGGGAGGGAACCTAAATAAACCCAGGATCCAACAGCTATGCTGCAGTACACCCTCCCTCTCCCAAGTCCCTCCGCATGAGTCCGTACAAGTATTCTGTTCCACTATGGGAAGCGCCCGCTCAAAAAACGAGCGGATCCTGGGCCGGACGTTCAAGTGACATCCCCTCTTTGAAAATGAGACCGCCCGCCATTCCTCTAGCTGCAAGAGTCGCCACGGGATATGGCCACACAATTCAAGGTAGCGCCCAGCGGGATCCACATGCGCGAAAATGCTTCCTGCGATGAGAACACAAGCAACAACCTGTTGTACCAAACGTATCACATCGCTGGCTCGACCCTCCACGGAAGACTAGCCGCTGTGTTGCCAGAACGAGGATACCAGATAGACGCCAACCTGTGTTCACGAAACCACTTGCAGATCTTTGTGGTTACGAGCTGCACGCTCATAATGCTCCGTCAAGGGAAAAGGCATTAGCACTGCAGCGGTAGGCCCTGGCGGGGACACGCGCTCTGAGAGCAATATGATTGCATAAAACAATAGCACTTACACCTGACTGGAAACTCTGGACATCACTGAATTCAGCCTCTCCTTAGACGACACTGCAACGTGGGGAGGTTTGCCAACAGCTTCAACGATGCCCTTGGCATAAAGCCTTATGACAACGTTCCGCTGAAGTGTGGACACGCTAGATCAGGAGCATGCAGCGGGAGGGCTGTAGTTTCACATAACGTGCGGACGTCGACATTGGTGGCAATTTCGTTGCGTCTCGAGTGGTCCCTGAAGGCAGCAAAAGCGTGAATCGTGCCGCCGAGCACCCCACCCCAGCCGAGGACCCACAAGACGTGCCCACTATTCCAATTCTCACGCTCAGGCGAGCAACGTCGGCGAACGGCGAGCAGCGTCAGAAACTCGGCAAGTTTCAAGGAGGCAGGGAAACGACGGCTCGCCAAGCCGCGCACCACCAGCCACCTGGCGACACTGTGGCGAGACCCAGACCTCCCGCCCCACTCTCCGACAGGCGCAAGGCCGCTTCAAGAGAGGGAAGCGCGAGCGGGGCGGCCAGGACGCGCGCGAGGCATAGAGAGAGAGAAGGCCCAAAACAACCCACCCACCATGACGCGACAAACTGCGACTGGGGTCACCACATAGCCAGCCTCGGCAACCCGCATGTGCCCGCGCCCTGGTGCAGACTGGCCGCAGTTTCTCTCGAGGCAACCCACGATCTGCGTAATCAAGAAAAAATCAAAATATGCTAAACGTTCGCCGTCCAACTCGGCAAATGCGGCGCCCTGAACAGCGCCCCGAGCTCGCGGGGCAAGGACCGCTCGTCCCGGATATGATCGTCCGCAATATTCGCATGGAATGCCACGCGCGCGGCGTGCAGAGCCATGCATTGCAATGTCCAACAAGATCTTGCCGACGACGAGGTCGGCGTCTTCGGCGCCCACCCTGCCGCGCAGAGCCACGGGTGACGCCTTGATTGTCGATGGACACCGCGACGAGGGCCCCGCGCAGGTCGGAGAACGTCTCGCACGCCAGCAGGACTGCAAAAAACCCTGGAGGCTAATCTGGCGATCGCCTCGCGGGAGAAGCTGGCGCCAAAAAGCCCCACCTAGCTGCGGGCGCACGAACAGCAAGCGCCAGTCCACGCGGAAAACAGGATCTCACCAGCGACTTGCGCCGGCCGCATTCACCCACAGATGAGAACGCGCCGCCTCGTCGCAGAAAACACAGAATGGGCAATCACTGGAATTTCAGCCACATGCGCAAGCCACCACGCCGCTGCCTGGAGCAGCCGGCAAGACGCACCCCCAGCCCGCAGCGGCGCGAGCGCCCGCGCGACAACAGGGTGTGATATGCCCTCCCCTACTCTGCCCGCCGTCACGGACACGGCGAACGACAGCCTGCCAGCCACTTTCATAACTGTCTCCTGGCTGCAGCGCTGGTCGCAAAGAATCTGCAAGAAAATGGCCATGTAGTTCGTCGACTTGTCGCCGGAAATCTGCGCGGAGATTGTCGCGCGCAGCATGTCCCTTGCAACCTTCGCACCAGGGAGCACCATGGCGAGGACGTCATCTGCGCCCTTCTCCCCCGCGCACGAAAGACCGGTAATCTTCGAGGGGATCGCGAGGCACCCCTGCCGGCCCACCGGGCGCCACCCTTCGAGCACCCGAAGAAAGCGTCGACGAAACGGGCTGCCGGCGCCAGGCTGATCCTCCTGATGACGGCCAGCAGCACTGCGCCACGCGGTACCACGCGCACACCGCGGACCGCGTGCCAAACGGCACCCCAAGATGCTGCGCAGCCCATGAATGCCTTCGCACAAAAACACTGATGGGCTGCAACGGCCAACCGTCTGCCAGCCAGGGGGGTGTCGCGCCCCCACATCCGCTAGGCCACGGGCGCCAACACCGGCACACGAACATCCAGACTATCGTGCACAACATTATTTTGAGCTTCGCGTGCCTCGTTAAAGCCCGATTCAATTTCGGCGTACGGGCTTCCCACCTGCGGTCACGCTGCTCCCGCGCAGGCAACCGCCCAAACAAGGCCGCTGCTCCGAGGCCCAACTTGCCCGCCACAGTTGGCCCAGACATGGCGCCCAGGCGCGCGCCCTCCAGCGCCTGAGCCCAGGTGTCTTCGCAAATATCAGCGGCGCGAATGTTGCGCGCGATCTGCCAGTTAATGGCACGGGGCTGGTCGCGCCGAGCATCGGCGCCCAAACGCCCCAGCGCCTTGGGCGCGACGTCAACCACTGCTTCGCGCGCTTTCAGCGGCGAGTCCAAGCGCAAGAAGCCCCGCTGCGGCGCGCCGACCAGGCCGGCACCCCTGAAGCCCATGGCCCCGCGAATTTCCCGAATCAAGGGCCCATGAATGCCCGGCGCGAGCTGCAGAATTCTCGGGTCAGCTTCGCTCGCCCAAACAACGTGTTCACCGCGAGGCAAATCAGCTCCACTGCTCCAGGAATGTAAAGCCTTGGAGCGGTCGGAATGGACCTCATTAGTGCTGCGCGCGAGCTCGAGACAGATGGCCGTGTTCAGATCCGCGTCGACGGAAACGCCCTCCAATTGAAGCGGGCGGTTTTGGCGCAACCGCCTACGATAAGCCTTCTCGGCCGACCCCCATCATTAACATCATGATCACCATCGTTTGTTTGTACTCCGCGCCCGCCTCCACTTCCGTTTCCGCTTCCGCCTCCGCCCCCCCCAACCCTGCCCCTTATAAGCACACCCCTTGTCGCACCCCCACCGGTTTTTTGGGGGCGGGCTGGGCATTTCGTTCATTCCGTTCGACGCACCACCGTGTCCCCGAGAGGAAGCCGATGGCTGTGAATATGAACAAATCTCCCCCCTCCTCCCTCCCTCCCGCCCTCCGTCCTCCCTCCGCCCCCTTCACTCCCTCCTGAGCCCCTCGCCTTTTCCCTCCTCCTCCCTCCCCCCCTCCTCCCTTTTCGCCCTCCTTCCATATCCTTCCACCCCTCCCTCTTGAAAAACCCGGGGGCGCACCAAAGGAGGCCCCCACCCCCGTCACACGGGGGGGCCCCCGAGCGTTGGGGTTACGGCCCAGGGCCCTTTACCAACAAACCGCCTGGGCACAGCCTCTTCGCCCGTGGCACTCTTGGTCTAGATGTGTCTCCCAAGTATATAAACGGGTGCAAGCAGCACCGACGCCAGATTGCAATGAGAAACGCAGTCAAAGGCAGCACGGCATGGCGAAGTGAAGTAGGGGAAACGCGGAATGGGGAGCGGAAGGCGGAGGCGGTCGTGCCGGTCGTGCACGCGGGCGCGGTGGTCGTTGCGGGGTTCGCGGTGTTCGGTTCGGAGGCGGTCCTGCCGGCGGTCGCGGCGTTGGCGGACATGCTAGTCGTGGCCGCGGCGGCCGCGGTAGGCGCGGCTGCGGTACCTGGCGCACCCAGTCGTTCCGCGGTGGCGGTGCTGGCGGGCGTGGTGGTCGCGGTGTGGGGTCGAAGCGATGGTCGTGTAGGCACAGCCGCCGGCGCCCCGTCGCGGTAGTGGGCGCCGTGGTGGTTGTGGCCCTGGCCGCCTGCGTCGCCGCGGTGGCAACGGCCGCCGAAAAGCGGCGCGCGGTCGGGGCGGAATACTGCCCGAGAGCGCTCAAGACCATCTCGGCGCTTCCCGTCTGCGCGGTCACCGAGGTTTCCCGCCAGAGGCGGCCAAAGAGCGCGTGCCGCTCGTCCTCCTCGAAGTCGGCGCCATAGTTGCGCACGAAGGCCGCCGCTTCCTCGGAGGGCCGCCCACTGCCTCAAAGACCATGGGGATGTGCCCGAGCCCATGCCACGTGGGGTATCGCGTCCTCTTCTCGTCGACCTTCTGGGCTGCCGCCAAGCCATTCCTGTGGGAGCGGGCCTGCCTGCGCAAGGCACAGGTCACCGCTCAGTCCACAAAGATGTGGACTCTGGTGTTGTGGTCGACGGTGGCCACGTCGAGGTTGGCCTCCTCGAGGCGGCCGCTTGGGAGACTCCTCCCTCCCTCCCTCGCTCCCTCCCTCCCTCCTCCCTCCATCCCTCGCCCGCCTCCCTCCCTCCCCCCACCCACCCCCCTCCCTCCCTTCCTCACCCCTCCCTCGCCCACCTCCCTCCCTCCTCCCCTCTCCCCTCCCTGCCTCGCCTTCCCTCCCTCCGTCTGCCCCTCGCCCTCTCCCGTCCCGTCCTCCGGAAGGGATGCGCGCGCTCGGGGCCAGGCGGCCTGCCGGCGCCCTGCCGCGCCCAGGGCTCTTCTGGGCGGCTGGCTGCTCCAGGAGGGTGACCTCCTCGGGCAGCGGGCCCAGCCCACGTCCATCCCTCCCTGCTCCCTCACACCCTCCTCCTCCTCCTCCTCCTCCTCCTCCTCCTCCTCCTCCTCCTCCTCCTCCTCCTCCTCCTCCTCCTCTTCATAGTATTATTATAAGTACTATTATTAATAATTAAAATACTATTACTATTATTATTAGTATTATTAGTATTTTTATTATTATTATTATTATTATTATTATTATTATTATTATTATTATTATTATTATTATTATTACTACTATTATTATTATTCATACTATTATTATTTATTATTATTATCATCAGCCTCATCATCATCATCATCATCATCATCATCATCATCATCATCATCATCATCATCATCATCATCATCATCATTATCATCAGCCATCATCATCATCATCATCATCAGCATCATTATTATCATCATTATTATTATGTGTATTAGTATTATTAGTATTAGTATTATTGTTATTATTATCATTATTATTATTTTCTTATTTATTTATTTATTTATTTATCATTATTAGTAGTGTTAGTATTCGTATTAGTATTGTTATTAGTATTATTATTAACGTTTAATATTATTATTAGTATTATTATTATCATTATGGTTATTGTTCGCATGCTCATGTGTATTAGTATTCGTTTTAATGGTCATTTTAGTGTCTGTCTTGTTACTAGTGGTGTTCTTATGACTCGTCTTATTAGTATTAATAAGTTCCCTCGCATTGGTAATAGCATTCATTGTCGTATCCGTAGTCGTATGGTTAATATTCGTATCATTATTCGTACTATTAGTAATAGGATAATTCGTCTTCTTATTATTATGGTTAGTATTCGTATCATTGCAAGTGAATCAATATGATTAGTGTGTTCAGCATTGCTCTTATTAATATGCTTCGTGTTAGCGTTCTGAGCATTACTAGTATATGTGTTTGATCGTCTTCTTAGTATTCAAATGGTTGTTATTATTATTCATATTGTTATTCCTCCTCCTCTTCCACTGTTCCTTATGTATAACTCATCCCTGTCGCACCCCGAGGCCAGTCCGAATGGCGGGCCTGGCGTTTCGCCTGAGACTTCCTGACCATTATGAGCATCACGCTTGCAAACTGGCAACCGTTTCACCGATGGAGGGCGGGTGGTGTTCAAAATGCGGTTCTCGCAACAGCGCCGCGCACATGTTGGAAATAGTAATCTAGTGTTGTTTTCTTTACCCCCCCCCTCCCCCCCAAAAAAGGGTCCAAAACAACGGCAGCGTCACGGATTGATGGCGGCTCGTTCTCCAAGTGTGGCGTTCGCTTCCTAACGACGTGCACACTCGTTTTAATTATGCTAACGGGGTTCCCCACATCAGCGGTGGACTAACCTCCCTTTAGTAAACCTCCCTTTAGTGGAAACGGCTTAGGACCAAAACCGACGGACCTGGACCCGCAAAAATGACGGCCGCGACGCCCTCTCGCGAACCGAAAACGGCCAATTCGCTAATCGACGTGCCAGGGTAGGAGGTCGACTAACCTCCGACCACATAAGGATGTTGAGGGCTTCGTGGGATCAACGAGGCAGAATAGCAATATGCATGGAAAGGCCATCGCAAAAGTACGTGCGAGAGCGACAGACGAAGGCAAGGAGGGGGAGCAGCAGGGAGGAAGACGACGGCTGTTCAGGAAGCACGTTCGCCCTTGGAGGACTGGGAGGGGCACGAAACCCGACTAAATCCGCCGACCCCCTTGTGGGGCCACCAGGCTGTAGGCCCGTGATTCGCAGTTTCCTGTACCAGTTGTAGTTTGTAGTTTCCAGTGTTACAGTTCTGCTTCTTGCTGGTTACTGTAACTAGTTGATTGACCGCGCGAGGGGAGGGAGGCCCAAACCAGATTTTTAGCACCACCTGGGCGCGTTGTCTGAATTGCTGGGGGGGCTCAAAATCGACACCCCTCACGCAGATCCGCGGGGTCAGGGTCCAAAAACACAAGGGATTTGCCACATTTCTGAAATTCGGTGCCACCCCTCACGCAGATCCGCGGGGTCAGGGTCCAAAAACACAAGGGATTTGCCACATTTCTGAAATTCGGTGCCACCCCTCACGCAGATCCGCGGGGTCAGGGTCCAAAAACACATGGGATTTGCCACATTTCTGAAATTCGGTGCCACCCCTCACGCAGATCCGCGGGGTCAGGGTCCAAAAACACAGGGGATTTGCCACATTTCTGAAATTCGGTGCCACCCCTCACGCAGATCCACGGGGTCAGGGTCCAAAAACACATGGGATTTGCCACATTTCTGAAATTCGGTGCCACCCCTCACGCAGATCCGCGGGGTCAGGGTCCAAAACCTGCTCTTCCATAGCCCATTCTCCGACAGAGGGGGCCGGCGGCAGGGGGCGAAGCCCTTACGGATAACATGGATTTCGAATACCCTCCTCGCTCAGTCGGGGCCTCCCTGGAGGAGTGGGAGGGGCACGAAACCTGATAAACAACACGGTGTTCGAATACCCTCCTCGCTCAGGCGGGGCCTCCCTGGAGGAGTGGGAGGGGCACGAAACCTGATAAACAACACGGTGTTCGAATACCCTCCTCGCTCAGGCGGGGCCTCCCTGGAGGAGTGGGAGGGACACGACACCTGCTAAATAACAGGCGGGGCCTCCCTAGAGGAGTGGGAGGGGCACGAAACCTGATAAATAGCATGGTGATCGAATACCCTCCTCGCTCAGGCTGGGCCTCCCAAGAGGGAGGGGCACGAAATCTGATAAATAACATTGTGTTCGAATACCCTCCTCGCTCAGGCGGGGCCTCCCTGGAGGAGTGGGAGGGACACGAAACCTGCTAAATAACATTGCTTTCGAATACCCCCCTCGATCAGGCGGGGCCCCCCTGGAGGAGTGGGAGGGGCACGAAGCCTGATAATCAGCATGGTGTTCTAATACCCTCCTCGCTGCGGCGGGGTCTCCCTAGAGGAGTGGGAGGGGCACGAAAACTTCTAACATTGTGTTCGAATACCCTCCTCGCTCAGGCGGGGCCTCCCTGGAGGAAGGGCTCGAGCAAGGGGACGCCGATTTCACCGAGCTGCTCAGCGACCTGGCCCAGGACTTGTCTTCCCTGTTTTGGACCCAGGCTGCTTCTCATTATGGGGGTGAGGGGCTGGAGCTTGGGGGCGGGGATGCGCTCTTGGCTGGCCGCGAAATTCGCAAGTTTCTCGCTAAGGAAGCGTGCGATCTGGTGGGGCTCCAGAATGTTGCAGTCTCGGGCAGACAGTTCACTCGAGAAAGGCAAGCGGCTCTAGGATACGAGGTTGACACGTTATGCCCAAGGTGCCACCAGGGCACAGAGACTCTCTTTCACCGAGTTTGGGAGTGCCGGTGCAATGTCGGTTTTGAAGGAACACCCATTTATCGTTTTCTCCTGAAGAAAATGTTCGGCCCTTGGGGCCGCTCCCGATTTCCGAGGTTGAGCCGCACACCACGTTCGGGTGTGTAGTGGTTTTCGGAGACGGATCGGGGGGGACCCACAGTGCGGACCCACGTAGGCGCAGGTGTGGCACCGCGGTGATCGCCATGCAACCTGACGGCCAAAGGGGCTGGAGGTTGGCGCGGGGGTTATCGACTCCAGTCGGGGGCCAGCGGCAAACGGTCCCTCGTTCTGAGCTGCTCGCGTTTGCCACTGCGTTGGAACATGTCCCCATGCGTTTTCTGTTCGTGACTGACCACGAGCCCCTCATGAGAGCTTGGGGGCGGGGCCGGCAGTTCCAGAAAAACGGAGCAAACCAGAATTTGTGGTCTCGAACTCGGGTGATCTTCCAGTCTCGGTCGACACAGGTGAACCTTAGGTGGGTTCCCTCTCACATGGACGAAGCCACCTCTCCTAGCGAACCGATCGGTCCCTACCGAATTCAGGGCAACGCCCTGGCTGATGAAGAGGCGGGGGCTGCGGCGGGGAGAGGGTGGGCGGCGTCGGTGGAAGGATGCGAGCCTCAGACAGACCACTGGGATGCGATCGGCACCCTGGTTCGAGCGCGCGCGAGGCGCGCACTGGCCCTGGCGTCAGAGGCCGCCGACTCATGCAGTGGGGTTCGGGCCTCGGTCCAACGGAGAGAGCCCCCGTCGAGGAGGAAGCTCGCGCTGCAGGCCGCCAGCCATTGTTTTGAGCTGAGCGAAGGCGCATGGAGGTGCAGCGAGTGCAATATCGTGGTGCCTGCTTCTCGCCTCATCGAGGCCGCCAAGACCCCGTGCCGTGGCCTCCCTGTCTGTTCGGTGGGGGCGGGAGGCGGTGGGTTGGCGGCGGGGCGGGAAGTGCACCCCTCCCACACAGTCCACAGGTGGGAGCGGTTCCTCATGAGTTTTTGCACCACCTGTGGTAAGTACGCTACGGTGGATGGGCGCCACTTGGCGGCCAATTGTGAGGGCATGTCCAGGAAAGCCCGAGAGAACATAAGCCGTATCGAGGAGGGCAAGTACCCCCGTCGAGAAGGGGTACCGAGGGTCCTGCAGGCCGCCCTCGAAGCGCGAGACCTCGGAAGCCTGGCGAGAGCGTACGAGAGGGCCGTTGGGCCCCAGGGAGGGGACGGTGGACCGTCCGCCGCTGCTGGGTAGTTGGTCCTCCTGCGGAGGGCCACTGGCCAGTAGCAGTGCTGGGGTGTGGCGGTGAGGCGAGGTTCCGCCTGCACCAGAGCACCTCTGTACGGGGTCCTGCCTTCCTCTCCCCCTCCTTCTCCCCCGCACGACTGTGCTTGGTCAAATGGTCCAAATGGTCCTCCTCCTCCTCCTCCTCCTCCTCCTCCTCCTCCTCGTCCTCTTCCTCGTTCTCTCCTCCTCCTCCTCCTCCTCCTCCTCCTCCTCCTCCTCCTCCTCCTCCTCCTCCCTCCTCCTCCTCCTATCCCTGCCCTTACCCTCCGCATGACACTGTTTCTTCACACCCCTTACACGCTTCGTGGCCCAATAGGGAGCTCCACCGAAGGCCCCAGCGGGAGGGTCCGCATGATTCTGCACGGCCGATTTCAGCGCACCCCGCACACGTTTTGTGGCCCCACAGGGAGCTCCACCGAAGGCCCAAGTGGGGGGTCCACATGCGTCGGCGCAACCCATGTTGGTACACCCCTCACTCGCTTCGTGGCCCGACAGGAAGCTCCGACGAAGGCCTCAATGGGAGGGTCCACATGCGTCTGCGCGACCCATGTCGGCACACCCATCACACGTTTCGTAGCCACACCCATCACACGCTTCGTGGCCCCATAGGGAAATCCGATGGAGGCCACATCTGCGGGTCCACAAGCGTCCCCCTCGCCCCATGCCGGCACACCCCTCACACGTCTCGTGGCCCCATGGGGAGCGCCACCGAAGGCGACTCTCAGAACTGCGTCACTCACAATTGCATATGGTTGGGTCCTTCGCCAGGGTAAGTTTCACGATGCGGAGATGCCAGGCTTGGAGGTCGCAACTCGAGCCTCGGGAGTGGGCGGCCGATCGGGACGATCCAGGCACCCCCAGAAGGCCTTCGGCCAGGCACAGCGCTTTTAAAGGCACCCCAGGACCAGGGCCGAGGTGAGGACACCCTGGAGACCGCATGGCCCGAGTAGGACATAGCCAGGACAAGTCGGAGACCCAACGGTTCTGCAAGATGTATCGAGCAACGCGGCCCTCTCAGAGCGCTTTGGAACGCTCTGAGAGCGTTTCGGAACGTACTGGAACGGAATTACCCTTGTCCCAGCCCCGCCTGACACAGTGAGGGGCAACGACAGGGGGGACCAGCTCAGAGGGGGGGAGGGAACAGCCATCGAACTGGAATCATCGGCCATGCATCGCAGATAGGTCGGCGACGGGCCCCCGATGGCGATTGCGCACGCTCCTGGGCGGGGTGGACCATCGGGCCCCTGTCGGCGATCAATGGGCGGTGAAGGGTCGGTGCATGCCCCCCTGAGCCGATTCTCCCCTCTAACGTGGCCCCTGACAGACACGACTGCCGAGCTCCTCATGGTGAGCCGGCGCTGGCGCCGTCACCTCGAGGGGCGGCGCACTGGAGGTGATCTCAACGTCCACCGGCTGCTTGGAGCGGCGACAGAAGAGGCAGCCCTCGGGGAGGGCTCCTCCTCCTCCTCCTCCTTCCTCCTCCTCCTCCTCCTCCTCCTCTCCTCCTCCTCCTCCTACTCCTCCTCCTCCTCCTCCTCCTCCTCCTCCCCCTCCCCTCCCTCCCTCCTCTCCTCCTCCCCTCCTCCGCCTCCTCCTCCTCCTCCTCCTCCTTCCTCTTCCGCCTCTCCTCCTCCCCCCTCCCCTCCTCCTCCTCCTCCTCCTCCTCCCTCTCCTCCTCCTCCTCCTCCTCCTCCTCCCCCTCCCCCTCCGCTCCTCCTCCTCACTCCTCCTCCTCACCTCCCCTTCCTCCTCCTCCTCCTCCTCCTCCTCCTCCTCCTCCTCCTCTCCTCCTACTCCTCCTCCCTCCTCCTCCTCCTCCTCCTCCTCCTCCTCCTCCTCCTCCTCCTCCTCCTTCCTCCTCTTCCCAGCTCCTCCGTCCTCCTCCTCCTCCTCCTCCTCCCTCCTCCGCCACCTCCTCCTCCTCCTCCTCTACTACTCTGTCTCCTCCCCCCTCTCCCTTCCTCCTCCCTCCTCCTCCTCCTCCTCCTCCTCCTCCTCCTCCTCCTCCTCCTCCTCCTCCTCCTCCTCCTCCTTCCTCCTCCTCCTCCTCCTCCTCCTCCTCTCTCCTCTCCTCCTCCTCCTCCTCCTCTTCCTCCTCTCCTCCTCCTCCTCCTCCTCCTCACTCCTCCTCCTCCTCCTCCTCCTCCTCCTCCTCCTCCTCCTCCCTCCTCCTCCTCCTCCTCCTCCTCCTCCTCCTCCTCCTCCTCCTCCTCCTTCCTCCTCCTCCTCCTCCTCCTCCTCCTCCTCCTCCTCTCCTCCTCCCTCCTCCTCTCCTCCTCCTCCTCCTCCTCCTCCTCCTCCTCCTCCTCCTCCTCCTCCTCCTCCTCCTCCTCCTCCTCCTCCTCCTCCTCCTCCTCCTCCTCCTCCTCCTCCTCCCTCCTCCTCCTCCTCCTCCTCCTCCTCCTCCTCCTCCCCCTCATCCTGCTCTTGGTGGTCGTCGTCGTCGTCGTGGTCACACTTACAATCGTCGTCGGCATCGTAACAATTGGCATCATGTTCAAAACCACAATCATAAACCTCATCATCATCATCATCATCATCATCATCATCATCATCATCATCATCATCATCAGCATCATCAGCATCATCAGCATCATCAGCATCATCAGCATCATCATCGTCACCAGCATCATCATCAGCATCATCATCATTATCATCAATATCATCATCATCATCGGCATCATCAGCAGCAACAGCATCATCATCATCATCAGCATCAGCATCATCATCATCAGAAGCACCACCAGCATCAGCATCAGCATCATCACCATCACCATCAGCATCGTCATCATGGTCATCAGCACTATCATCAGCATCATCATTATTTGCATCATCAGCAGCAGCATCATCAGCATCACCATCAGCATCATCATCCTCATCCTCATCATCCTCATCATCCTCATCATCCTCATCATCATCCTCATCCTCATCCGCATCATCATCATGATCATCATCATCATCATCATCATCATCATCATCATCATCATCATCATCATCATCATCATCATCATCCTATCGTGATCATCATCGCCGTCATCATCCTCATCATCAGCATCAGCATCATCGTCATCATCAGCACCGTCAAAATCATCATCACCATCAGCACCATCATCATTATCGTCAGTATCATCATCATCATCATCATCATCATCATCATCATCATCATCATCATCAGCAAACACATCATCATCATCATCATCATCATCATCATCATCATCATCATCATCATCATCATCATCATCATCATCATCATCATAAGTATCACCAGCCAGCAGCATGGGCATCATCAGCAGCATCATCAGTATCATCATGACCATCATCCTCATCATCACCATCATCATCATCATCATCAGCATCATCATCATCATCTTCATCATCGTCAGCATCATCATCAGCAGCATCATCATCAGTATCGTCATCGTCAGCATCATCAATATTACCATCGTCAGCATCACCATCAGTATCATTTGCATGTTCATGAGCATCCTAATCATCATCATCATCGTCAGCATCATCAGCAGAGTCTGCAACAGAATCATCAGCATCATAAGCATCAGGATCAGCATCGTCACCATCATCAGCATCGTCAGCATCATCATCATAATCAGAATCAGCATCATCAGCAGCATCACCATCAGCAGCATCATCGTCAGCATCATCAGCAGCATCAGCAATAACATCGTCATCATCAGCATAATCATATTTAGCATCATCATCAGCATCAGCATCATCATCAGCATCATCATCATTATCGTCGTCATCATCATCAGCATCATCATCAACAGCATCATCATCATCGTCATCACCAGCATAGTAACCGTCAGCACCATCATCATCATCATCATCACCAGCATCATCTGCAGCAGCATCATCATCACCATCATCAGCAATCAGCAGAATGCCCATCGTCATCACCATCATCAGCGTCATCATTGCCATCGCCGTCGTCATCATCGACATAAGCATGACCACCACCATCATCATCATCATCATCATCATCATCATCATCATCATCATCAGCAGCAGCATCATCATCATCATCATCATCATCATCATCATCATCATCATCATCATCATCATCATCGTCAGCATGATCAGCAGCGTCAACAACAACATCACCATCAGCATCGTCATCCTCATCAACATTATCATCGTCATGATCATCACCACCACCATCACCATCATCATCAGCATCATCATCATCATGATCATAACCATCATGCTCATCATCGTCCGGATCATCAGAATGATAATGCGCAGAATCACCATCAGGAGAAGCATCAGCATCAGCATCAGCATCAGCATCAGCATCAGCATCATCATCATCATCATCATCGTCGTCATGATCAGCATCATCATCAGAAGCATCATCATCAGCAGCAGCATCATCATCAGCATCGTCATCATCATGATCGTCATAGTCACGTCATCGTCATCATCGTCAGTGTCATCATCATCATCATCATTTCATCATCGCCATCATTATCATCATCATAATCCCCATCCTCACCCTCAACATCATCATCATAATCCTCATTTTCATCGTATTTGTCATCAGCAGCATAATCATCATCGTCGTCATGATCAGCATACTATACATCGTCACTGTCGATCATCATGGTCATGAGTCATGATCAGCGTGCGCTCCATCGTCACCATAGTCGTCGGCATCGTCTGCGGTTTCATTATCATCAGCAGCATCAGCAGCATCATCATCATCATCAGCAGCATCAGCATCATCATCATCATCACTGTTGTCATCATCGTCATCGGCAGCATCATCATCAGCATCGTCATCATCATCGTCATCATCGTCATCATCATCATCATAATCATCATCACCATCATCATCAGCATTATGAGAATCAGTATCAGCATTATCAGCAGCATCATCATCATCATCAGCAGCAGCACCACAATCGGCGTCGGAATCGGCATCGCCGTCATCGCCATGCTAATCGATATGGCATCGCCATCTTCATCGTAGTCATCATCACCACCACTCACATCTTCGTCCTCATCGTCAACCCTTCCATCCTCCTCCTCCTCCACCTCTTCCTCCTCAACCTCCTCCTGCTTCTCCGGGTCACAAGCTCCGAATAGACTCCGCCGTAAGAGGCGCTGCCGCTCAGACCACTTATAGCCTACAGCACCGCTCCCCAGGCAAAGGAGACACCCCGACGGCCCCCGCCATGCCTGTCCCCCAAGGCGCGCCCTGCCGGCCACCCCCTTCGCGGCGCTGGCTCCCATTCGGCGTCCGCGCCGTGGAGGCGGAGCCCAATCGGCAAGAAGGAAGCGGCTCTCACACGAGAAAACAAAAGGCAGGCTTGTGTCGTGGCGACCGCGGGGATCGTTCGACAATAAACGATCGGCCCTTTCAGAAACGCTGGATCGTGCAACGATGTGCCGATTCTGGGCCGCCGCAGGCGCTCAACGCTGAACGCACGCGGCGGGGTCACCGCCGCGTCGACACGACGCGAAGCCACCGTAGCGACCTTAGGCCGCGGCTGACGCGGGCCGCTAGCGCGGCACACCGCGTGGAGACGAGGGCGCTGGCGCGCGACCTGGCGCGGAAAGCGCACGCGCGCGTCCGCGCAGGCGACCCCGTGCGTTGCCGTCGCCCAGACCAGCATGAAGGACACGGATCCTGAAAGCAGCGGGTCCAGTTGTCGGGCCCCCCGGCACGCCGAAGAGTCCCACCAGCCCTCTGGGCGTAGGTGATCTAGAGCGGCTTCTCGTCCAAACCCCTTCTTCCCCTTCGGGGAGGGGCTTACCCCTCCCCCCTAACCCCCTCCCCCTGGACCTCGACAGGGGTGGTCGCGGATAGTTGGAGCGTTCAGGATGGCCCAAGACAGCTCCGAGAGCGCCTCGGACAGCCCACGATGACCTCCAAGATGGATCAAGATAGCCTCAGATGCCTCAAGATGGCTCCGAAGATGCTCCAAGAGGCCCCAAGAACGCTCCAAGACGGCTCCAGGTGGCCTCCATGACTTCCACGGAGACCCCCAAGAGGCCAAAATCCTTCAAAAACCTCAGGAAAGGCAATGAATGCTGCTTTCTTGCCTCTTCGTTTCCGATAGCCTTCCGAGGCCTCAAGATGGCTCCGAGATGGCCCAAAAAGGCCCCCAGAAAGGCCCAAGAGAGTCCCAAGACGGCCCCAAGCGCGCCCAAGAGCGCCCCAAGAGGGGTCCAGGAGGCGATTTTCGGTGCTCCAGAGGGGGGAGGCTAATTGGAGCTCCCCTCGTGTTTGATCGATGTCCTCCAAGATGGCCCCAAGAGCGCCCCTGAAGCTCCCAAGAGCGCCCCAAGAGGGCCCCAAGAGGCGCCCAGACGGCCCCAAGAGGCGTCCAGGAACCCTCCAAGGAGCTCCCAAGAGACCCCCAAGAGGCCTCCAGAGGATGCCCGAGGCGCCCAAGACGCCAGCCCTGGGCTCGCCAAGGTGC